TTACAAAATTTAGGATAAATCATCACAAAAATAATCTGAAGAATCATCTGCACCAAGATCATCAACAAAAATGAAAACCAAGATATACACAATTTTATATCTCTTCAATCTTTATTTTGGCTGATCATTTTCGCTGTCTTTTTTTTTGTCTGCAGAGCAGAAGTTTAACCTTCTTCTAAGTTCAATCTTGCATTGCTATAAAAATCTATAAATCAATGCATTAATAATTAACATATAAATAAAGTTAATGTATAAGCCTAAATTGTTAAATGTTGTATGCAAACTAAATTTGAACAATAACTAATAATATTAAATAAAAAAATAATAAAACTAAAAATAATGTGCTTCTGCCTCAGAAAGATGGAACATATACAGGGTTATTTAAAATTTTAAAAATGATTGAAATCAGACAAAATAAAAATAGCAATTTAAAATGACTTTTTTTTATTTTAAAATATTTTTATGATTATTTATTGATTTTTTTGTATTTTTTTGTATTATTTATTTAATTTGCCGTTGATAAATATTACAAAAAAGAAATTACAATAAAAGAAAATCCTGGCCGGAGCAAGAAGAAGACAGATTGTCTTATCATCGAGCCCCGTCACACAAAAATTTACATGCACAATAAATGATAAAAGACAAAAAGACAGTATAAATACAAAAACAAAAACAAATCAAAAACTTCAGCAATAAAATAATTTGTTGCTAACAATCTTCCTGCAGAATAATTTTAAAAGTAAAAAAGTAAAAACGACAAAAAGTCATGAAAGTTATAAAAACACACAAAAAAATGTATTGTTTAATTGAGAAAAAAAAAAAAAAAAAAAAAAAAGCAATATATGTAACCATAAGTATTTTGGCTGATTATTTAATATCATCAAAATATGAACGAAAAAGACAATTTTATTTTTGTTATCTTTTATACTAATGGTTTGAAACCATTTTAATAAAAGCTAAAGAAAGTGTTAAAGATTTAATTTATTTTTAAGTGATTTAGTTTAAACCTTTAAATTGTTTTCAAAAAAGGCATTTGAAATCTAATATATTGAATTCCATGTTCTGTAAATGCCATTTTGAATCATCCTTAAAATTTTGCAAAGTGCAGTTTAAAACGAAGTTTTGTTTTTTACTAAAGATTGGAAGAAATTCTTTCCAAACTAAAGGTCCCCGATATTGAATTTGGTACGAACTTAATTTAAGAAAGTTTATGGGAACCACAAAGTTATTCACTGAAAATTTGGTTGGATATTTATGGGAGATTTCATTAAAGTAGGATTAAAATGTTACTGAAGAAAACCCAAGTTTTGCTTTAAACATAAATATCATTACTTGATGAATATTAAGCTTATAAATATTTAAAGCTCCAAGCTGACGTAAGAGAGGTTCGCATTGTGTTTTTCTATTTGCCCCAAATACTATCCTGCAAGCATGTTTTTGTTTACTATAAATTTTTTTGAGTTCAGTGTGATTAGTGCTACCCCAGGAAATATTACAGTAGGAAAGATAGCTGTGTATAAACGAAAAATATAAATTTTTTAAAGACTCTTTATTAAGAAAAGGTTTCGTTCGGTATAACATGGCAATATTTTTTGAGATCTTACCTTCAATATATTTAATATGAAATTTCCATGACAATTTTTCATCTAAGAGCACTCCCAGAAAGTTTGTAGTCAATTCCCTTTTAATTATTTTATTATTGATTAAAAGATTGGGTAGTTTAAGAGGAATATTCTCGGCTTTACTAGGTTTATGGAATAGGATAAATTTTGTTTTCTCTACATTTAATGATAGTCGGTTACTTATAAACCACTCGTTTATCTTGTCTAATTCTTCGTTAAATATTTTAAAAAGAACAGAAATATCATTGTGAGAATAAAACAAATTAGTGTTATCTGCAAATAAGATAGTATTTAATACTTTTGATGATAAATATAAATCATTTATATAAAGTAAGAACAATAATGGTACCAAAATAGAACCTTGGGGTACTCCACAAGTTATTAATTGTTTTTTGGGTCTTTTGATTCTTTAAGTATAAACTGCTTTCTGTTAGATCTCATTATTTATTCAGTTATTATAGACTAGTCGTTGGTCTTATAGTAAAATGTCTGGAAATATTAAAAAAGCTCTACATAACGATATAGATTATTGTAACATCAATTTTTTTATACTCTTTATATGTTAATAAATAAGGTTTCACAATCAAACACAGAAAAAATGAAACATAAAAGACATATTTAAAATGTAAAACATCGTCTTCAAACAACTTCATTGCAACTGTAGTAGTCATATATCAAATTTTATATCTAATGACATGTCATTAGATATAAAGTTTTATATATATGATTGATACCTTTAACATAATAAAGAAATCAATAATATATTATTAATAATATATCTTATAAGATATGTTATTAATAATATATCTTATAAGATATATTATTAATAATATATCTTATAAGATATATTATTAATAATATATCTTATAAGATATATTATTAATAATATATCTTATAAGATATATTATTAATAATATATCTTATAATATCTATAAAATCTAAACTATTAGGAAGAAATTAAAATAATTTCTTCTTATACTTAATAATGTAAAACATTTAAAATATTTGATTTTTTTAATAAAAAAACACTTAAAATGTCCTCTTTGTTAGAGAAATCGAAGATTTAAAATGTTTAATTTTATTTATTGAAGATTATAAAATAAATCAAACTTTTGAAATGCCAATACAGCAATAAATATAAAAAAAACCATTTTATATACTTAATAATAATAAAAAAATGATAATTTCCTTTATTATTACATTGACAATTTAGATTGTAGTAAAATGTTATAAGCATATTGTTCAAATGTTAATATTTCATTATTTAAAAAAATTAAACATTAGGTCACAAGAACCTCTTGAAGTTTGTTTCTTATAAGGAACCTTTAAAAATTAATAAATACAGCTTCTTTTTTTATTTTTATTACTTAAAAAGATGGAAAGATAATATCAAAACCTTTATTTGTTCTCTACAACAATACCATTTTTAAAATTGTTTTGCAACATTTTTAAAAATATACTAATCAGCAACTACATTAGCCGGAGATTGGCTAACGCATAAATGTAGAAACCAAGGCGTACTTAAATAGCAAGCCTTCTCATCGTGCAACGGCTTGAAAAATGTGGAGGCTGATTTATTTAGCGGCAAAAGTTACTACGAATAACTTGTATCTCTACAAGAAGATTTAAAAATGCCCAGAAAATGTTGTGTTACTGTTTGTCACTCTAACTATGACTCAGTAAAAAAAAAGACAACAATTTTCAGATTACCTAGAGATCCAGTAAGGCGCGCAGGGCCGGTGCACCCTATAGGCGAACTAGGCAATCGCCTAGGGCGCCAAAGTTTAGGGGCGCCTAAAAATTGATAAGTTTTTTTATATGCTAACAAAAAACAACGTTTTTGCTCATTGAGCAATATGTACGTACATTTTACCAAACGCAATCTAAATCATAACAAATATGGCGGCGTCTTTACAATCAAAGTGATTTTCATAACAACTTTCAATTGTTAGTCGACTATATTCTTTATATAATTTATACTGACAGTATATATATATATATATATATATATATATATATATATATATATATATATATATATATATATATATATATATATATATATATATATATATATATATATAATATATTTATATATATATATATATATATATATATATATATATATATATATATATATATATATATATATATATATATATATATATATATATATATATATATATATATATATATATATATACATATACATATAGATGAATAGTGACATTCTATATACAATTATACATTTATATTAAGTTTTAGACACTTATTAAGAAAAGTAAAATATTTTTTATATGAATATATAATAACTAGCTTAAATCTAGGGCTATTATATATTACGTATTATATTATTATTATACTTCACCATACGTATAACTTTGCTATACAAAAAAAAATTTGAATTATTTAAACACAATGCATCTAGCAGGTTAAATTTTTTGTTGAGTCGCTTCTACAATATGTCTTGGTCTGCACCAGCTAATTACACATTGAAATCTCATTTATATAGCTAACTTCCATTGCCGTTTAAAAAAACACAAAAAATACTAGCAGGACGTATAACTTTGCCAAGTTGTTTTTTGTATAACACAGTTAAATGATAACCTGTTAAAACCTTACAGAGCTGTTCAGACCTGTTGGAAACTATAGCTAGCTATATATAATTATTCTTGAAGCCAATCACAGAAGACCTATTCATGTATTAGTTAAACATCGCAACATTCATTTATTTTATTATTTTCTTGTTACATTTCAGATATGGCTGAGAGAAAGAAGCCTTCAGGAGCTCAATATCGTAAACGAAAAGTTGAACAGCAGAGGGAACAAGAAAAACAGAAGGTTTCATTGCTAAAGTTTATATGCCGACAAGACTCTACTAAAGAGGATAGTAATGGTGGATAGATTCCCACTGATATGGAAGCTGAAGAAATATCTAATGATGTTGATAATGATAATGTTATGATGAGTGAAACACTTTCTTACTCAACAGTTCCCGTTTCCCATGCAGATAATGGCCAATTCAATAATTCTCTCGAGGAACATGTACAGCAAGCAAGTGAAGAAAAAACGGATAATGTTATTCCACAGGATCCAGCACTTTGGCCTCTACTAATTAATCATAATACACGTGCAATTATTGTAGAACGTGGACCTCAGCAAATAAAATATATCAGTTTCCCAAATGATAAGAACAATCGAAAGTTTTCAGTATTTCACTACTTAAGAAAACTTTCTAATGGAGAAGAATTATGTCGCAGCTGGCTCTTGTATTCAATATTAAAAGAATGAGTGTTTTGTTTCTGTTGCAAACTGTTCAGTATGAAAGCAATTGGCATATCATCACTAACTCATACAGGTTCAAGTGACTAGAAAAACATGGCGGCAATTCTTTCTTCCCACGAGAAAAGTCCTGAACATTTGCAGAACTATCAAAAGTGGAAAGAACTACATCAGCGATTACAGAGGGATAGTACAATAGATGCAGAAATTTTGCGCAAGATGAAGAATGAAGAAAAGTATTGGCAGCAAATACTAAAGCGTTAAATAGCATTAGTGAGAGTTTTGGGTGAACAGAATCTAGCTTTTGGCGGTACAAATGAAACATTGTACAGTGCCAATAACGGGAATTTTTTTAAATTTGTGCAATACTTAGCCATTTTTGATCCATTAATGAACGAACATCTACGGAAGATATCAAATAAAGAGCTTCATACACACTATCTTGGCAAAGATATACAAATGGAACTTATTCAACTGTTAGGAAATGTTATTAAGAAAGAAATCGTACAAACAGCAAATGCAATGAAATATTTTTTAATAGTTCTCGATGGTACTCCTGACTGTAGCCATGTTGAGCAAATGACAATAATTATTCGTTTTGTTAAAGTTGATTCATTAAAAAAGGAGTTTAGTATCAAAGAACATTTGGAACAAAAGGAGTTTAGTATCAAAGAAGATTTTTTAGGCTTTGTACCTTTAAAGAAAACATCTGGAGCCTATATGGCAGAAACGATAATACAACAACTCGAAGAAATGGAAATACCTATTGATAATTTACGTGGCCAAGGCTACGATAATGGCGCAAATATGATGGGCAAAAATAATGGTGTTCAAAAGAAAATATTAAACATTAATCCTCGAGCATTGTTTGTTCCTTGCAGCGCGCATACTCTTAATTTGGTTGTCAATGATGCTGCAAATTGTTGTCTAATGGCTACAAGTGTTTTTGATATTGTCCAACGTGTGTATGTATATTTTTTGTCTTCAACACATCGGTTAGTAGTTTTCACTAGTCATCAACCTACGTTAACTGTTAAACTTCTAAGTGAAACAAGATGGGAAAGCAGAATAGATGCTATAAAGCCTTTGCGATATGAACTTGGTAAAATATATGATGCACTGCTAGAAATAGCTGATGATACTTCTCTAACTGGATCCTCAGGAAGCACTGCACGCAGTGATGCTAAAGCACTTGCGAATAGTGTTGCAAAGTTTAAGTTCGTGGTTTCAATTGTTGTATGGTACAACATACTTTTTGAATACAATATAACAAGTAAGCAGCTCCAAGCTAAAGATTTGGATATTCATGCTGCTGTACAACAGTTCCAACACACACAAGCCTATTTGGTTGACTGTAGGAGTGACATTGGTTTTGCAAGAATGCTAGTGGATGCTGCTGAAATTGCTAAGGATTTGGAGATACCACCAACCTTATAGGCAGAACCACGATTACGGCGGAGAAAAAAGCAATTTGCATATGAAGCTGAAGATGAGCCTGTGCAAGATCCAAAACAAAATTTCAAAGTGAATTTTTTCTTTGCTATACTTGACACAGCAATAAGGTCGGTTGAAGAAAGAAATATATATATATACATATATATATATATATATATATATATATATATATATATATATATATATATATATATATATATATATATATATGTATATATTTATATATATATATATATATATATATATATATATATATATATATGTATGTATATATATATATATATATATATATATATATATATATATATATATATATATATATATATATATATATATATATATTTATATATATATATATATACATATATATATACATATATATATATATATATATATATATATATATATATATATATATATATATATATATATATATTATATATATATATATATATATATATATATATATATATATTTATATATATTTATATATATATAGAGGGGAAAGTGGGGCAATATGGCAAACGATTTCAAAGTCTTCAGGACTTTCAAAATCGTTCGCCATATTGCCCCACTTTCCCCTATATATATATGTTCACCTTATTGCAATGTTCGCCTTATTGCTAACTATTAATCGTGAAGCAATAATACTAATACTAATGTTTATTAAAATACTAATAATAAATTATTAAAATGCTTTATTGCCTGCATGAATTTTCAGTTTGTAAATATAACAATTTGAAACAAATATTGAATAAATATTTCATAAATCTGTCATTTGATCACGTGACCGGGCAAGATTACTTATTACGTAATTTTTATCTCCAATTTTATAAAATTTTAAAAACTATCAACAACTCTAACTAAAGTAACAAAAAATAAACACAAACTGCAAAAAACTACTTCTAAAGAAGTTAAACTTAAAGGACACCATCCATTATGAGAAACCGAAAGTGAGTAATTTTTTTTTAAGCGTAAAAAGTAAACTTATGCGTATAAAATTGCGTTAATAATATTTCAAAAAACCAAAAGATGTTTTAAAAAACAAGATATATTTTTATATATATATATATATATATATATATGTATATATATATATTTATATATATATATTTATATATATATATATATATATAAATATATATATATATATATATATATATATATATATATATATATATATATATATATATATATATATATATATATATATATATATATATATATATATATATATATATATATATATATATATATATATATATATATATATATATATATATATATATATATATATATATATATATATATATATATATATATATATATATATATATATATATATAATTTTGTCTTTTAAACATGCATGCAGGCCTGAAAGATAGACAATTACAAGTTATATCAAAATATATTTTTATTTAAAAAAAAAAATGATTTTAACACCTTGCGCCAACTAACGCCATTTTATTGAAAGTTTAAAATTCTTACTAGTTATCAGATATCTAAAGACCTGATTGTGCTACAGACATGTGCACGACATATTTTATAGTTAACCATGTGTACTAAACCTTTTTGAAAAAATTTAGTTCTTATCTCTTTTGGTTCACCTTGCGCCAAATAATTGTTCAAATTAAAGCAAAAAAAATTTAGGAAAATCAATCATCCGCTAATAAGTGCAGATTTTGGCGCAAATTGTTGAGTTCCAAAAATGTTACGCAAGGACCTTAATGCATTTTAAACTGGAAATATATATTTATATATCTTGTCTTTAAAAATCTATTGAGGGGTCAGAGCCTTAACTTTATATTAAATGCAATAACCCATTTTATGATGCTATATAAATAATACTTTTGCTCACAGGCTTTTTTTGAGTACAATTACAAGATTCGCAAATATTATGAAAACAATCTAAATATTGTGTCGTTTAAGAAGTGTAAATAATATTTTTACAAATCGGTTCCTATACGTATATTTGTGCTTAAGTTTTTTATGCATGCTTTATTCAATTTTTTTTAATCTTTTTTTCTTCAGGTTTTTCTCTTTACTTTGTTTTAACTAAATGCAGCTGGTAAGTTATGAACTGTTTATCTTTTTTATCAAAACTTTTATGAGTTAATTCAAATATTTAATTCCTTAGTTTAGTTTAACTTTATAACTAAAAACATGAACCCCGAATACAGAGGTAATCATTTTCGAAAATACTAAAGTTCAAAAACAAAGTATGAAGAGAAGAGAAGGTGCCCTCAGTTCAACTTCCAACCAGGGCTGATGTTATTAAGCATCTCCTATACTTGAAGGAAAAGATTGGTTTCAATTTAGAAAAAAAGCGATATGGTGCTTGCCCTTTAAGTAACAGTTACAGGTTACTTTATAAATATTACCTTTGACGAGACTTATCCCTATTTTTGAAAATTTTATTAGCCGTTCGTAATTAATAAACTATGCTTTTAATAGTTTCAGTTTTTTTGTTTTAAAAATAAAATAAAAATATATTATTTGTCATAGTGCACAGTGTACCACTGCAGTTACTGCATGTAGCAAGAAATGTAATCTTGGGGGATTATGGTTTCCATGGAAACCATAATCCCCAAAGATCCGATTTCCGAATGATTGAACCAGTTACTCTGCAAAGAAATCTATTCAAATATATTGTTAGATAATTGAACCTAATTGATTCTTCTTAAGGTTTTATTGTTAAGTTTTAATAATAAAACCTTAAGAAGAATCAGCATAAAACTCAACAAGGATATACTCAATCTCGTGCTGAGTTTGTTTGTATTGTAAAAGGTTAAATAATATTTAAATAAACATTTATAAAAATAATATTTTATAGTTTAGAAATTTTAAAGGAATGTATAATTTAAGGGTTGTTCTGCTTAAGTCATTCTAAAAAAAATCTTATCAAAGCTATCAAAACAGACAATAACAGGATTCCATCTAACAAATTGAAGAAATTACTTTTTATTAGAGATCAGCTAAGAGAAAGAAAAATGAATCTGAGACACATTGATAATCGAAGACTAAAAAGTGAAAAGGGGAGAAAAGAACGTTGTGAGAGAACTTCTGCACAAACTGCCAGCTTATTAGTTGAACCTAGTACATCCAGAACTGCTGAAAATTTATTTGATATACATAGATAAACCAGCTGACCAAATTTTTATTGTTTTGAGAGCAGGGGGGATTAATATTTGGCTTGGAGCTCCAGAAGTTACATCTGGAACAGGGCTTAATCAGTTCATTGCTATCAAGAGCATTCTGACAGAGTTTGATGTTACAGATCATGTAGGAACTGTAGGCTTTGATACTACTGCAAGCAATACTGGAATGATTAGTGGTTCAATATACAGGTAGTTTTATTACAAATGCTAAACGTAAACTAGAGGCTCATTCAACTTTTCAATTTAAAATTTGAAGTTAATTATAAAGAAATATGAACTAATTATATTTATAAATCATTCTGGCTAAGAAAAGATATTGGAAAGCTTATGCTGATGCTTGCATGCAGACATCATATTTTAGAAATAATTCTTAAATAATATTGGATAGCTGTAACTATAGAACAAACATTGTCATGAAAATGTTTTCTTCAAGAGTCTAAAGGAAAAGTCGCATGATTTGAATATGTAAACTGCGTCACCGACCAATTCAAGCGGCAATATTACCGTGGATTTTGGTTAGAAAAGCAGGCAAATTGTGCAAAGAATCAGCTTAGGAAGATTGTTGAAACTGGAGTTTTTAAAATTTGTCAGGTATGTTATTTGTTGAAGTTATTGTAAGATCAACAGAAAAAAATTAAATATGACTTATATAAATAATAAATAAATATAATCTTATAGAGTCAAACGAAAAGAGCTGATTGACATAAAATATCAGAGTTGGCCCTCACGTTCTTGGATCCAGAAATTAAACCTACCCACATTCACAAGCCTGGTGCAGTTCATCATGCACGGCTTATGGCTAAGAGCATATACCTTAAGATCATGCTTTTTCTTAATCAGACAAAGGAACTTCTGAATATGAACATGGAAAAGATCACAGATGTAGAGAGAAAGGCAAAATTTAATTCAATCTTTTATGCTCCAAATTTTTGACTACTGAAAAATCAGAAACTTCAGCAATCCAGGTTATTTATAGAACTAAATAGATTACTTTTAATATGCTACTATATTTTACTGAAAATTTAACTTTTTTTAACTTTTTATACCTTTTCAGGACTAACACTTCATATGGCAGATGGCCCACCTGAAGGAAATTAAAACAGCAGCAGCAGTAGTTTTCTACAGATGAGAAAAACATAGTTGGTACTTAGATCCTACAGCAGTTATCTTTGCCCTCGCCAGTACAGACAAATCTGTACCAATTAGCACAAAAAAAAAGATAGCAAAAAAACTGTTGCAATATCTTAGTAATACCTAAGGGCTATGATTTTAAAAGGAAAATAAGTTTATAAGAAGTAAGGAAGAGTTTGGCTTGTTCGAAGAACCGCCTACCCTTTCAGATTATGTTGGTTCTGAGTCTTTAATTTTTGATATTCTTGAATATAATGAGCTGCAAATCAAATGGCTTTTGTTCCTTTCTGCTGCATGGTAAGTTGCCCCTGACTTCTTAGCTTTTAAAACTTTTGTTAAAAATTCGGCGGTTGTAAATGATGTGGCAGAGCGAGGTTATAATGTTGTAAATGATGTGGCAGAGAGAGCTGTAAAGTCAGTTCAAGAAGCATTGCAAATGACAGTGAAAGAAACTGCAAAAGATGCTTTTAGTCAAGAGTAAAATTGATAAACCAGTTTCTCAAATTAAAGCAGCATACAAGTCACAACAATTCGCGCCAAAATCTGCACTTTTTAACGGTTGATTGATTTTTCTATATTTTTTTTTGCTTAAATTTGAAAAATCATTTGGTTCAAGGTGATATATATATATATATATATATATATATATATATATATATATATATATATATATATATATATATATATATATAT